TTGCAGGCTTGAACGGACATTTGAAAAATGGTCCCAATCTAAAGATAGGATGCTGCCTGATTGACAGCTGCTGTGACAGTTGGCAATCATAAATGCTGACAATGGTCTCCCTTTGATATTAGTTCAGAACTTCAGTTCATAAAACGGCTTAGCTAACTTACTCGATGGATTGTCAGTTCCCGGGTACATCAGACACACAATACTGTCCCCATGCCCCAGAAGCTAGGAGCAGGGTTGGGATGTGTGTATAGGACACTTCCCTTTTTACCATGTGAGACAGTTCATTCTCATTTTACAGATGAGAACACTGAGGCTTGTAAAAATTAGGGCTAAGACTGCTTGACCAGAGACAGGAGCTGCCAAGTGGACACTCAACACCAGGCTGCCTTTCTCAAGAGCATCCTGGGTAACAGGCTCTCCTCCCCAGTCCTGTGGCTGAGAAGACAGGAGCCCAACACCCTTCCTGTAGAGTGGGAGATGCTCTCAGATCATCCTCCTGTGACTTCTCAACAATATGAATTCTGAGGGTTTAGGAACAACTAGGCTCCTCACCCAACTCCAGCTGCTAACAGTTCCCTTAATAAAACAGCTCTTATTAAAACTTAGGGACCCCTACCCAGTCAAGAAGACCCTTACACATTAACCAGTTAGACCCTGGTGTATTGCAACCAAGCTTTGGGACCACGAGCAAGGCTCTCAGCCTCAGTCAGTTCCCCTTCCTCAAGCAAATGATGCCCTAGGTCTTCTCAGATGCAGGCTGCTAGGCAAAGCAGCAGACACCAGAGGGCGCGTCTGTGATGAGTCCTCAGTGACCCAGGCTGAAGAAATGATGCTGGACAGCAGTCAGGGATCCCCAAGCCTGAGCAGGAGGAAGGAATGTGGGCGCTTGCAGGGGACTCACTTCTCCCTGGGCAAACCAAAGCAAGTGGGACTGATCCAGGCTGCTGAGTCACGTTAATCTAGAGGACACAGCACTGTTTTCCAGCCCAACTAAGGTACAAGTGAGCTCACAGTCACAGAACATGACTGCTGGTCTCCTAGGCTTGGTCCCATAGACGAGTTACCATACCTCATGGAGCATGAAGTGTTCCAACATGGCTGCTTGAGTTGATGCATATTTGGAGGCATTTAGTACATACATGTGAGAGTGGCCAGGTTATCTTTCTAAACTATTTATAGGCTATTAGACATACCCCTTAAGGGGAGCTGTGACATTTCCTCCTCTTCCTCCTCCTCCTCCTCCTCTTCTTCTTCTTTTTCCTTTTTCTGTGTGATAGTATGTATTTTGGATATTTTAGGCAGAATTCCCCAAAGTGTATTTAAGGCTTAAAAACTTCTTAAAGTGATTTGTAGTTCATTTTGAATTTCCAGGTTCAACACAAACAAGATTTTTTTTTTACTTTGAACCCTGTGGATCACCAAGGAGGAGAATGTGGGCTGTGTTTATCAAACTGATGGAGTGTAGAGCACCTTGGAGAAAGGCCTTAGTGACCACCTTCCAGGGACGGGGGATACAATGCGGAAAGCCAGTGCCTTCGTCCATCAAGTCCGCCTGGTTTAGGGCAGCTGAATGGAGGGGTGGCTCCGGAAGTAGTTTTTTTTGCTGCCGGGAAGCACCGTTGTTCACTGAGCACCATCCAGGGATCTCTCAGAGCCTTAGGAAAAGCAGCGGAGTTGTGAAGAGCTTGCATTCCTCAAACCCTCTTCCAGAGCGTGTCTTGCCTGTGGAAAGGGTTGTTCGGCCGTCTTCTGACCTCAGACCCTAACTCCAGCCCCAGTGAAGACAGTGAGAAAAGCAAGACAGCTGTGGGTGATATGTGCAGAGAAGGCTTATGCAGTGCTTCAGAACCACCCACTATCTAGCAAAGTGCCTAATATTAGCATCGTGCACTATTTATTTTTATTCAAATCAGATAACAAATCATAGATAACTGCACTTATATGTGCAATGAAAGTTTATGTGGTGTTTCTGCTGAACAGACTCAAGTAAAAATAGTAGAGTTAACAGAAATCCATACAGCTCTTCCTTGCTGGTCCTGGAACCCTCAGTCTCCAGGAGGAGCTGTGAGAGGAACAGAATCAGGATCTGAATTTTATTCATCTACCACTTGCATTTCTTCTCATCACCACACCGTGGCGCTGTTGACAGTCACTTCTACCGGGTCTGATCCTCATGAATCTTAGAGGGTTGGAAGGGGTGACTAACTAACTACTCCTGTTTGTGGGGGTTGTTATTGCTTTCTTTTTCTTTTTCTTTTCCCTAATCTCTGGCAAAGGGGTTTCTTATGTTCTTAGGGGTGAGCTCATGATGTTTGGCTCCAAGAATCCCACGCCCCACCCCTAGCAAAACATCTTCCTTAAGGTGACCAACGTGACCTTTCTCAGCAGAAGCTGAATACTAGCACTATAACTTTAATGTACAGTGGGGCACCCCTCCAACAGAAGATCTAACTTAATAATACCCTTTGTTAGGTCAGTTTGAACCCTGATGGGGTGTCAATCACCAAGAGAACTGCCACATTGGAGCAGGAAGCTGAGTTTGACTGATTAGCACGTATTAGTTCATGATTCTTTACCACAGGGCTTGGACAAGTGACTTAATCTTTATGCACCCTGTTTTCTCACCTGAGAAAATAGGTAATATTAACTTCCTCACAAGAATGGTGTGAGAACATGGAAACATTTAAGAATAGCACTTAGGACAGCGTCTTACACATCGTAAGTGATAACAGTAGAAACTGTCATTATTTCACAGCAAGTCTGCCGACTGGAGAGGGCCTTGTGCAGAGGCTCTTAGTAACATCGGTGACTATGCACAGGCCATGCTGGGTCTCAGTTTCTAAGATGGAGCAAGAATTGCTATTCGAGGATGCAGTCCACTCCAGGTATCTCCTCCCTTGCTCCTGGCAGCTTGTCATCTTTTCCCAACAGTGGAGAGAAAACTGGCCTAGAACTACACAGGCCCATGTGAGGCTTCTTATGTGAGCCATTTTTCTGAATAGTTTTATGAAAAACAAATGTTGATGCATGGACTGTTTATTTTAAAAATAACTTCTGAAATGCTAAATCAGCATGAGACATTGTCTTCTTAAAATTATCATTAATATAAAATAAACTTCTGGCCTCTAGCAGATCAAATGTAAACAATCAAGTCTAGATCCCAAATTTTTTAAAGAAACAGAACAATACTGGCAAGTATCTTCAACATGTACCCAGCACTGAGTGAGGGACTTTACTTTCAAAAGAAAAAGCCTAGCCTTGCCTGCTGAGGTTCACGACCTACTCGAGTAGTCTCAGATACTCAACCCTGACAGCCCAGGCTGGAATATGGAAAGCTCAGGCAGTGTGGGCAGAAGCGGTATTTGAACTCTCTCATGGGTGCAAGCTTAGCAAAGCAGAGAGGTGCTCAGGGCCCCCTGATTGCAGTGAGTCAGGAATGAGCAGAGGACACCAGGAGATTACCCTAAGGGAGCCAAGGGTCCATCAGAGCAGAAATGCTTTCTAGAGTGTGCCTCTACAATCAGTGGGGAGCTCTGGTCAGAGGGCTGTTCGTAAGAGTGGGGAGACATGAATTTTGGTCCTGATGTCTTATACACCAGCTTCCACTCCAGTGATGTCCCAGTCTCCGTGAGACTTCGGGTCCTGGTTGGTTTGTTCTTCTGGGTCAGCATGGAGGGAGACACTAACTGGGCACAGACCGGGGCCTGCAAAAAGGACAGAAGTGGGTGTCACAGAAGACACCAGGTAACCTGAGGTCGCCACCAGTTCTCAGGCAGGGAGAGGACGGGCTCTTTTCTGCCACGTAGAGAAGACTTGACCACTGCCAAGGCCTGGGGATGCCCCGTTACTCTCCATACTAGCTGCTTGCTCGCCCGTTCAGTAGACTCTGAGCAGCCTCCTCGAAAGGAGGATGAACAATAGAGGGACGAGTGCTACAAGGCCATCGGGAGCACTGTGGTCACACAGGAGGGTGGGGACAGGATCAGAGAGGCTTGCTTCGGGGGAGGGGGGCATACAACTTGAATCTGATAAGCATAGCTGATGAGACCCGGTGGAACTTAAACTCAACACACACCAATTATTTCCAAAATAACAGCTTTCTAAAACCTGGGAAGGGCTACGTGTAATTATGCCCCACCCTGACAAACCCAGTTTTTGGCCTAATCCTCTTTCTCGGTTATTCAGCCAGGATTTATGAAGCATCTATTACATGCCAGGGATGGGGCTCGGCGTGGGCAGACATAAAAGAAAGAAGACAGGCTCTTAAGTGCCGTAGAGGAGAAAGCCGAGAGGATGGGAGACGGTACAACCTGGACCCAGTGTGGCTTGGGACAGGGAAGGAGCAAGTGGCAGTGTGTCTGCCAAGCAACTTTGAAAGAGCTAACCACACTTGAGCGCTGGTAACCAGAGCTGTCTGTCATTCACCAGGGAGACTCTGTGAAAACTTGAGATGGCTCTGCAACTCCTCCTGCTAGTTCAATAGACTTCTTTAAAGTATGTTTTATTGTTAATCCTGTCTCCGTGCGTGGGTGTCTACACATGAGCACAGGTGCCCACAGAGGCAAAGGGTAGTGACTAGAGTTACAGACACGGGTGCGGGGGCGCTGATGTGGCCGCGGGAAACCCAGTCTTCTGCAGGAGCAATGCCTGCTCTTATCAAGCAAGCGTTGCCATCTCTCTAGCAAACCCCGCCCTCCTACCCCCCCCCCGCCTCCGTAGGCTTTTCATCTGCCATTTTTTAGATGCAAGGCCCTGGGAGGTATCAGTGATGAGATGATCCGCATTCTCAAAGGAAATGGCATCGATGGCCTCTGATAATCAGCCAGGCCAGATACAGGGTGCTCCGGGGTATGTTTTTTTTCTACGGAAATCTGACTCAAGGGTGTCACTTGACAAAATCTGAGCTCTGTATAGCACCTCCCCGAAGCCGCACTCTCTTCCCTCCTGATCATGTCTGGAGTAGGAGCGCCACAAGGGCCTTTCCTTAGTGATATGTCCACTCTTCTCTACTTTCAGCAAAATTCTGGGACCTCTTCGGCAGAGCTGGAGCACTGGCTGCCCTCACAGCTTCCCCGCAGCTTGGGGATCCTGCAACAAGAACCAATGAAGAACAAGAGCTAAGCCCTGGAGGATCTGGTCATGGAGGCTCGCAGCTAGCGCCAGCAGCAGGTGCCAGTGTTGGGCTGCAGGAAGAGGCAAGACTCGCCGAGGGCCAGGGAAGAAGACAACAGTGCTCAGTTTACTCAGCACATGGCAGCACAAACAAGATCGCAGGTGCCTGCTGAGCCTCTACAAGGCGCTGCACTTGTCCAGAGCTATGACTCACTTTAAGAAATCCAGGCCAATCCAAAAAAGCAAAATGAAGCCTTAGCCACTTGCTACGGGCTGCTAGCAATGTGACTTGTACTCGTGGTCAGGACCACACAGAACCCGAGCAGAGGCCATTCGGTGAGGGTCTCACTCTGGGTCCAGCTCCACGGGAGGCAATGAACAGTAACTTCTGCCGGGCCCTGGTGGACCGCGGGGCTCCCAGCGGCACGCAGTTGGGTGTCGTGGCCCCTGAAGGACAGACGTCGCTGTCAGCCACTGAGCCCCTGGGCAACATGCCCTTCCTGCTGTACCCGGGCCACGCCGAGCCGCCTTACTACGACGCCTACGCTGGGGTGTTCCCCTACGTGCGGTTTCCGGGCGCCTTCGGGGTCTACGACTACCCGTTCGAGCCCGCCTTCATCCAGAAGCGCAACGAGCGCGAGCGGCAACGCGTCAAGTGCGTGAACGAGGGCTACGCGCGCCTCCGCGGCCACCTTCCTGGAGCCCTGGCCGAGAAGCGGCTCAGCAAGGTGGAGACCCTGCGCGCTGCCATCCGCTACATCAAGTACCTGCAGGAGCTGCTGAGCGCCACCCCAGACGGCAAGCCACCCGCGGCCAGGTCCCAGTCGCCAGTCCGTGCGGGCCAAGGCAACGCGCCGCAGGCCCCCTTCCTGGTGCCCGAGTCCAGGGGGTCCTCCTCCTTCTCCTCCTCACCTTTCTTGGAGTCAGAGGAACCCAGCCTTTGATCGGTGTCCCTCTAGGGAACAGTAATGGGGGCGGCTGGATCTGGTGTCCTGTGCTGGGCAGGACAGTGATGTTCAAGGGCTGTGCTCCTACCTCCGCCCTTTGGGCCAAATGTGCGGACCTGGAGTAGAAAGGGCGAGATGGGGATCCCAGGAGGTGCTGAGGGCAGTGAGGAGCGGAGCTTTGGACAGCTCCTGAACCTGACTGCTGTTTGGCCACTGGGCGGCTCTGTTGTCCACCACAGCAACAGGTCCCCAGGAAGCAGCCGCACTTTGACTAAGTCAGTGTCATGCCTGGGTCTTCCACAAGATGGCCTCAAATACTAGCGGGGAGCTTGATTACTCTAGAGAGCAGGAATTCCAGACGGAGGAAGACCGTGCAGCTGCGTGAATTCAGCACCCTGGAACTGACAGACTTAAGAGAGGTGTGTGTGTGTGTGTGTGTGTGTGTGTGTGTGTGTGTGTGTGTGTGTGTGCGCGCGCGCGCGCTTCTGTCGCTGGTGCTGGTTGACTTCCTTGACAGCAAGTGATCACCTCCCTTTTCCTACCCTTTGAAATAGTCTTCTGGTCTTTTCCCAGGTTAAGGACTTTCATCCCTCCCCGGCCCCCAAGACTTGTAAGCTTCTAGGGCCTTTCGACACCGCGTTTACATCCAGGGCTAAATAAAAGGACTGTTGAATGTCGTGATTCCCGAACTCCGCCTATCACCTACCTTGTTCCGCTTCCTCATTCGCTTTCCCAGCCCGGAATACTTGCTGCAAAGGTGTGTGGGGGTGTTTGCTAGCTACTCCATCAACTATCATTTCCAGAGAGCTTAATGCATGCCAAGACTGCATGCCAGAGGGGTCTTGGTTCTAGAGAGAAAGCACGCAGACCTTGTATAACGAGGGATGTGAGGGGCGGGGACCCATTGGAAGCCATGCACATCCAAGGTGGCCTGGCAGGGTTTCACCTCAGTGGCTCCATTTCTGACAGGAGAAGGCATGGCAGTCCTGGGATGATCCTCACAGATACTGAGACTGGAGTTGGGGGGCATATGCTGAGCTAGGTCACCGCCCAGCACCTTCTCTGGACAGAGCCATGGAGCTAGGGTTGGGGGAAACTTAATCTCTGCGTGAGAGACCTGTCTGGTTTGTGGCTCCACTCGGCAGGCTCCTCTTCCTGAACCCCATTACCGGACTCTAAAGACTTCCTGTCTCCCACTGCCCCTGCTCCATCTCAGGCCTGGGTGTAACTCAGTCCTTTACATCCAGCCCTTGCCCTCCTTGGGGGCAGTTTGGGATGTCACTGGCTGGACTGGAAGGAATGACAGCTGCCTGGCCTCAGGCGCTTGGGCTGGGCAGCACGGGCTAATTTTACTCGCTGGGAGCAGAGAGAGTAATCCACCCACCCCCCACGCCTGCCCTATCTGATTGCCTCAGCAGGACAGGCTCAGTCAGGCCCAGTCCCCAAGGTGGGGGCATTGGGGACACAGGGAGGAGAGGGCCGTGGGCTGGGGGAGCAAGGGAAAGGAGGGGGTGTCAAGGAAGCCATGGAGCCGTCCTCACCCCAGGACGAGGGCCTGAGGAAGAAACAGCCCAAGAAACCTGTTCCTGAGATTCTGCCGAGACCTCCCCGAGCCTTGTTCTGCTTGACTCTTGAGAACCCCCTGAGAAAGGCCTGCATCAGCATCGTGGAGTGGAAGTATCCTTAGTACCTGAGCAAGAGGAAGTGGGAGGGTGTGGTAGGTGGGGGGGGGATGGGGTAGTCACAGAGCTTAGACGTTTAGCATCAAGGTGACTGGGCTCTTGGAAGGGGGTCAGCCTACTACCTCTGACCAGAGTAAGGAATCTTGGTGAAAGCAGGAAGGCAGGTCTCCACCACAATGGAAAGAGATCTTCCTGGGGCCTGAGGAGACCACTCTGGTCATAGGTGACAGCTAGAGATAGCAACTGGTCATCTTGGGAAGGGCCTGTGCTCACGGGAGCTGTTTCTAAGTGTGCCCAAGTCTCTGCCATCATGGGGAACCACTCTATGGTTTTTAATAAGATGAAAAAGTAGAAGCTCCGAGGAAATCCTCCATGGTGGGGGGGGGGTGGGAGAGGGTGACAGTCCAGGGACAACTTCCACTGGCTCAGGTCTCAGTTACAAATGGAGCTGGTGAAATGGATTTGAGGGAAGGCCTACTCTTAGTGGTTCCTGGATGCTGGCAAGCAAACTTGGGTATTTTAGCTCAGTTGTGCCCTGGGGACAGGGGTCTTGACATCTTTCTGGGTTTGCATGAGTCCTGGAAGAAGAATGAGGAAAATATCTGGGTTATTTGGGGGAAAGGAGGGCTGCAGACTGTGCAGAGTGGGTGCTGAGAGTCAGGAATATTTGAAATATTTTTGACATGCCCTGGAAGAGTGGGATTCCATCAGCTGTTCCTTGGGGGGGATAGGAGAACCGGGGATAACGGAAGGGTAAGAGAGAAACAGAGTCATGCAGAGACAGTGATTTCCATAGACTGATTGCCATAGCTGCACTGTGCCAGACCGCATCCCCTCCAGACCCCGCCCTCCTTGTCTGTGTCCTGTGAGAGCAGCTTCCTGTGTTCCATTCCTCCATTCTCTACTCCACTAAGCCCACTCCACCCACAGATCTATTCTGTGCCACCCCACCTCTCTCCTCAAACACTGAAATTGCTGGGAAGAGTCTGGGTTTTTTCCAAACCTATTTACATAGCACACCTTCTATTCCCTGTCCCAAATGGCACACCAAGGACCGAGCATTTCCCTTCCTCACATTAGCTTTCTAAATGACCAGTAAGTTCAGAAGGGTGGGTTTCAGAGCACCCTTTGGAAATGGTTGCTTGGGGGCAGGTGTATCTGGGAAGGGGATGTGTGAGCACCACCTTCTACACACGAGTGTGTGCACATAGCTCTGAAAGCCTGACTTTCTCCCCCATTTTCCAACTTTCCCAGTCCTATTGAACATATATCAAACCCCAGCCTTCCTGGCCAAGCCCCTCAGATCATTGTGTGGCCTGACTGTCTCTCAGCATTGTAGTGATTTCCAGACTGGCCTTTAGTAGTCTCTTTCCCTCAACCCCACACCTCCTGCAGATGACTCGGGGTTCTCCTTAACCCCGACACCAGACCCTTCGAGACCATCATCTTGCTCACCATCTTTGCCAACTGTGTGGCCTTGGCAGTGTACCTGCCCATGCCTGAAGATGACAACAACACTCTGAACCTTGGCCTGGTAAGAAAGTCTTCCCTCCTCTTGCATTCCTCAGCCCTTGCTGGGAGTCACCCTTGGGCTTTGCTCTGGTGGGAGAAGCAGGTGCCTTGGCTCCCTGACCACCCAGAGCGATGTCCTCACACCAGCGAGCTGCTCAGACTGAGCCTGTTCAGCTCAGTTCCATGATATCCATCAGTCAGCATTCGACATGCCAAGCACCCAACAGGCGCAAACTCATGGAGCTTTCCCAAGAACTCCCCACAGTAGTACAGTTGACAGATGTGGAAGCTGGGCCACAGCAGGGTGAACCAGGGAGCTGGACACTCACCTCCTCCCGTGGACAGAATCCAGAATGGGGCTCCCACCGAGCTCACCTACTAGAGGAATGTGATTTAGAAATCTCCAGAAAGAGCATTACAGAAAGAGCAGTATCTCTCTCTCCCACCCTGTCGCCAGCAACACAGCAAGTTCTCCTAAGTAGTTTTCATTATTGAATTATAGAATCTACACAGCAATCTCCACGGTATAATATTAGATTATCTGAAAGTAAATAACTGAATAAATAAAACAAAAACCTACTCTTCATAACCCCGACGATTGGCATTTAGCTACATCATGTAGGATAACTCCCATATAAGATTCTAACAGGCCTCATACCCTGGTCTTAGTGACTTTGGAACTTGCTCTTATATTTATTTTTAAAACATTTTTATTTTCAAATTATGTGTATGCATGTGTGACTCTGTATGGGCACTTACAGTGTCCTCGGAAACCAGAAGACGAAATTGGATTCCCCTGGAACTAGAGTTAATGTAGCTATAAGGTGACCAACATGGGTGCTGGGAACTGAACTCGGGTCCCCTGAAAAAGCAGTACTCATTCTTAACCACAGAGCTATCTCTCCAGCCCTTCTGTTGGCTGTATCCCCAAGGTGGTAAACAGAAGGAGGCCTCCTAGAGAAGTCAGCTTCCACTGAGAAACAAAGGGCTGAGGGGGATATGGCTCAATGATGAGACACTTGCTCAGCATCCAGAAGGCCTGGGGTTCCTCTCTAGTGACACAAAAAACAAACAAACAAACTAACTAACTAACTAACTGACTGACTAACTAACTAACTAACTAACTGACTAACAGGACAGGACTATGGAGTCCATTCTCTGGGACTTTCCCCTGTACTGAAACTACAGGGCTTGGAGACAGAAGGCCCATCTGCGTGCTTCCAGGGCCAAAAAGAAAGAAAATTGTGTGACGCTCCTCAGGCTGGTTTCCATGGTAATCTATTCTGAACTGGGGAGAAGCTGGATGCTAAATGTGTGTTTGCTGGGAGTGGAAATAACCGAGTTCCTAGAATGGAGAGAGAGGGGTACTAAATGAGGACAGGGCCAGTGCAGCCTCTGCTGTTAGGGAAGCTGCTGTGCGCAGCCTGGGCCTTCTACAAAAGAAGTTCAATTTTCCATGTCCATGCATTTAGGAAGAGTTACTTCGTGACTTTGGCATTCGGTGCCATGTGCACTTTTCGGAGTTGAATGCTTTTGGTGCTGTGTTCTTATGCTCCTACCACCGGGAAGGTGGAGAGGAAAGGATCCCTGGCACTCACTGGCCAGCTTTCCTAGCTGAATCAGTGAGCCCTAGTTCCTAGTGAGAGGCTCTGCCTCAAAAAACAAGGTGGCCAGCTCCTGGGAAATGATACCTTAGGTTGTCCTTTGGTCTCCAAATGCATGGACACACATGCACACACACACACACACACACACACACATACACACACACACACACACACACACAAGTTGACTCTTTTTGCAAGAAACTGCCTTCTTTTAAGGATATTAAACCATACCTTAGGGATTACACGATCTTCCATCTTGAAAACAAAATGGTTTGAGGAATAGTCCTGTGGTCTGTGGGCTACAGATGTAGCTCTTCAGTCAAGTCTGGAGCTCAGAGACTTTCCAGTGAGTGTGCTGGAAGAGGGCCATCTGGCCAGTGTCACCTGTGGGACAAGTTAGCATACCCTGGGATATTGACCACCTGGGAATAACTCCAATCTGAACCCTCTGTTGTGCAGTCCAAAGAGAACAGGCCACACCCAGTGTCAAAGGCAACTTCTGCCTGAGGTCTCCTCACCACTGCTTGTCCCCAACACCCAGCAGAGGACAGTGAGAGGGGACAGAGCAGATTAAGCATGTATCTCTCTCTTATCATTTTG